AAAAAAAAAAAAAAAAATGATCAAGAGAGTATTAAAAATTTCCGAAGCTTTGATACCACCTCTGACATTTGTTTTTTTTCATGGATTTCCGCCATATCAACATTATCAGATTCATAATTAATGGCAATGTCACGATTTACAAAAGTAAGGATATGGAGAATATCACAATTTTTATTTTTAGTTAGCCCCTTGCAAAGGCTGCTAATAAACCATGATCCAGAGACGTTTTGAAATGCCATATGGTCTGTGTAACATAAGAGAAGAGAGCTCATTAGGTAGGAGATAAAATCAAGTACTGTAACAGCTACAAAATAAGTTAAAATTAAATTCTTTTAATTACCTTCAGTAGTAGAAAAGAAAACAAGAAAATCATCTTCAATTTCAGGCCATGGCAGTATATCAATATCTACAGTTTCACTACTTGTTGCATGTTCATCAGTAGCTGGTAAATATACCTTACTTTGTTTCTCCTCATGAGACGAATTATCAAAACATTTCACTAATGCTATGCTTGACTGGCTATTTTCCCCTCTGCAATACTAGAAAATAAAAAATGAAATGCAATTAATTTTTTTTGTGTGTGAGAGGAAAAATATCTTGACATATTCCATGCCATTAAGTGAATTTTTTTACTCATTCTTTACCACCCCCGTCATCTACTTGGTGGTAGGAAGAACGAGTATTAATCTCAGTGCTGTGTCACGTAATGGTGATTCATCTCCGAATGCGGAATACGTACAGACTTGACACTAATACTATTGGAAACTGCATTTTCCCATATCAATTCAAAGAATGAACCTTTTATCAGGTTTAATTGTATTATTTTGAGATCTCTTAACAAATTTTGCAGATCTTCATTCTTAGTCATAAACCCAGCTTATTGGACATTTTAATCTCAGAAGACACAACAGCTACAAACATGGAAATAATACTATTCAAAATTAAGGAACCTTGCTGTGTCTTTTAACAATTAACTTTTTTCATGTTCAATAGTATTATTTTGAGAACTCGGGGGGAGACGTTCCTTGTGGGGGCACCATCACACACCTGGGTTCGACTTCTTCTTCCCCAACCTGGGCCGAGACCTAGCGGCTAGAGTCCTAGACTCTACTAGCGGCGTGTCTCCTCCAACGACAAACCCTCCAATAGTGTATTTCGACTGACGGAGGAAGAAGAATAGCGGGTGGAACATAAAGGTTCCTGATTGGCCGAGCACCTACCCCCACTACCGGCGTGATGTAGAGGCGGGAAGCTCTCGACCAATCGGTAACGTTTATGTTCTACCCGCTGTTCTTCTTCCTCCGTCAGTCGAAATCGAAATACACTATAAGGCTTCCTACCCGACTCTGTCGACGTGCTCTGTGTCGACTGTCACACCGATATATTCGGAAATGAGTACTATTGTTTGAACATCTTCTGATAAGAATGTTAGTGTGGCGGTTTTGGATAGCCATCCATTCTGGACGGGAAATACTTGTAATTTGTTCAAGGGTACACTGTGCAACAATACCAATTTGTGTTTTGGTTATCGTGTTTGATGCAACTTATTTGTGTGCAAAATTTTATTTTATATGGATAAGTCTGTGTAAAGTACAGTTTTCGTTTTGTAATAGATACCAAAGAAAAATATTTCCAGAATGACCTTTTATGGATGCCCTTTTCCAGTGAATAGTTTGTTTGCATAACTTAATGATATTTTCATTGAGCTTTGGGTAATTACTTCAGCATTGATTGATATTTAACACATTCCTTGCGGCGTGACCACTATGTGGTCACGCTCCCATGTTAAATCATAGGCACCAATAATGAGCTGGAAGGAACGTGTTAATTTGAGTCAGGCTAATGTGTAAGTACTTACTGAAGCTCGGAAGGTCGGTCAGAGAAATCTGCAGCTGTAGCCAGTGTGAGACAGTCAAATGTATAGAGCGCCCAAGGTAAGAAGAGTGCAAATGACAACAAAGTGTGCTGCTCTCGGTTGGGAGGTAGTAACGTTCACAAGGGGGTAACATTGAAGACTGGCTGGTTTATTGACGCAACGCTTTGACAGGTTATTTTACACAGATTGATAATTGACTATCACAACTGTTGGCAAACAACCACAATAGAAAAATTACATAAGATGCCCAATGATGGCTATATTTCAAGCAATTTTGACAAAGTGACATAGAAAGGGTTACGGATATTGACAGCTCTAGTGAGAGCTTAAGAGACAGGCTATTAGAGTAAGAGCGCAATCAATGACAAAATGATTCGCGAGCCACATACTTGGGACCCATAGCTTACAAAATCTATCAAGGTAGAACCCCAGGGAAATGGAAGGGTAAGATAAAAAACAAACAGTGATATTTTCTTAACAGTTACATTTGGAGAACTCCAAAAAAAGATATGGGAGCCATGAATGGGCAGCACTTAAAGTTTTTTGTTTCGCATGTTTAACTTGTAAAGCCCTGGCGGGAATGTTACACGCATCTCAAATTTTGACGTAAAGCAACTGAAAGCCTCGTTTTACAACTTCAAGGTCTCATATTGTGTCCATACCCCTCCTGTCATAAATTGAAATTTTAATTTTTCTTATTTTTGGACAAATCTAAAATTACTACTAGATCTTCTCAAATGCCATAGTAAAAAGACTCATTATGCTTCACATAAAAATAAAACGGGACCTTGGAAGTGGAGACCTACATAAAAGGGGAATGGGCTCTGCAGGGCATCACTGTAGCTACAAAACTGTGACGCATGAAACATTTTAGAGTTCCAAATCAAGCACTCTATTGTAAACTGGTTATATAAGCTTTTGTTCCTTCTATCTGCTGACACCCCTCCCCAAAACCGCTACTGGTACAACATACTAGAATCTGAAAGTTAACCAGATTTGGTTGTAATTACAGAAATATGGACATCACTAGTACAGTGGCACTCACTAGACAATCAGGGATGTTACAATTCATGGGAAACCTGAAAGTCATGGAAAAGTAAGGAAACAAACAATTTATGGTCACTGAATTCAATCGCCGTGTCATGGAAAATTAGAAAATTGCAAATTCGCCAGCGTGGTTAGCTGCCGCGCCGCAGTACTGTAAACAGGCGTGGGGGGATAAATGGCAGGGGAAACCTGCTCCAATTTGATCAGGCGGAATCTTTGTCTCAAATTATAATAGTCCACCACAGGGCCCTGCCCTTTGGA